ATTGCATTCATCCGCAGCGTGAATGTTGTAGCCACAGCAGCTCCCACACTCAGTCAGCTCCTTGAGTGCCCCCAGTTGCCTGTATTACCTAACAGGAAACGGCTTCTGGCCAAAAGAGGACAGCTCAGCCAAATGACTGCACTTGAGTCCAAATGACGGACAAGCATAAATCAGAGATCTTTGCTCCGTAGTTAGATGTTTGTTAGCCATGTTGAGTGCTTATTGCCAAATGGCAGTGGCAAGAGGTTATATTGTACAATGCTGACTTGACAGTCCTGGCTGTAATGTGCAAGATATTAAAAATACAGAAACCAAGCGCCACACTCCAAGTATTAGCTCAGCTCAGGACCCGGTCTGCTGACAGCATAGCTATTCCAGATGGAGGAACTAGCTTTCCTCTTTGACTCGGTTTGTTACACTGGAGAAACATCTGCACTTTAATTTTGAGAAATGCCACTGCTGACGTCATTTTGTTTGTTTTTAAATTTTGAAGCACTGGCTATTAATGGCCTTTGTGTCTGCAAAGCTTGATATCCGCCAAGCGGTGTGAGGTGGCCAAGCTTCTTTTGTTGACTGGTGGCTTGTGTCTTCCTTTCCCACATTTGTCATACCTTTGGGAAGGATTCAGCATATTTTGGCTTTGAGAAATTTGCCAAAGCTGAAGATGGTCCCAGTGAAGAAGACGGAGCGGCGGCAGGCCAGGACTGAGCGCTGTTCACAAATGAAAGCTGTTTACTCGTTTCAGGATTAATTTGACGTTGCTATTGCAAAACCTGTGAACAGCCTTCCTCGTTGTGTGGACCTGCGCTGTATTAACGCTCAGCGTCATTAGAAGGACAGGAGAAAGAGGTCCACGAGGCCCGCAGGGCCTTTCGGCTGCCATCGCTTAAAGGACATGAAGAACATGTAGTAACAATAAATATTTTTTGATCATATGTAGCAATCATAATTGTTCAGGAAGTTGAAATAGGTTGTGGTGACTTAACACATGAAAAATGCTCAAACAGCACTAAAATGAAAGGACCTTTTGAACTACAATGCCAAATTCGAAGTAAAAAATACATGAATAAATGAATGAAACAAGCTGCAAATGTAGCTTATGAGGTGACAGCCTTGATTCAATTCACAGATGGATGCCAGCCCCCAACGGCTGTTAATGATGGGGCAGACTGGGCTGATCTCCAGAGGTGTGTTTTCCCCATCAGGCGGCCTGCTCTCACTCCAGGCCAGACAGGAACATAGCAGTAATGGAACAGAGCGAAAGCAGCAGGTAAAGCAGACTGTGGTAAGTGGCAAAAAGTCTCTTACAAACCTCCAAACAAGCTGCTGAATTTATACACCAGGTTTATTGATTCGCTGGAAAAAGCCTGACAGTGCAACAGTAGCATAGAGTGTTCAAGTCGACACCCTTTTTAAATTTGTGACGTATGAAGAGTTGGCCAGTTTGGGATTTTCAAGGATTTTGAATCTTTGAAGTCACCATGCCAAAGTCCAAGTCATGAGACCATCTTTTTCTGGCAGGGTTTTGTGGAGATCACTCTAAAATCATCAAATATATGGTTTTACTTAAGTTCATGCCTCTGGCTACATAAGTAAAATTACAGAGGAAGTCTGAGTAAAGAATAACAGGGTCATTTAGATGTAAGATTATACTAAATCTAAATCTACACCTTTCAGAAAATAAAAACTAGCTGCTGTAAGCATGCTATGCTTTCTGCTAAATGCTAATGTCAGCATGCTAACAAGCCCACAAAGATAAAAGAAAGAGATAACATGCTGATGTTCAGCAGGCGTTATTTTTTGCAAACAAAATAGATCTGAAAGTTGACGGGAATACTCTTAGTTAATGCTCCAACTTGTTACAATGCGTATTAACTTGGATATGACCTCTAGCAGATTTCATGGCAATTACTAACTAAAGAAAGCAAATGCCAACTTCTTTGTGCCATTACAGTAAAAGTATTATTCCCAGCTTCTGTGCCCCATTTATATTTGTACAGTGTTGTAAAGCCTGGAACAAACTAGTGGTCTGACTGACCCTAGAGCCATAGCATCAGCATCCACATTCAGTCCAATTTTTAGGACTGAATAGTCAGTTGATTGTGCAGAACAGAATCTTCTCCTGCCTTACTTTCATCCTGCTGCACTGCTGTGTTTCTTATTAGAGGGTGTTGGAACACTGAAACAACTAACAGTTGTACTGTACGAACAAAGCCATGGAGTATTATAGGAGAGCACAGCATAGACAGTATAAATCTCAAAATGCCACATGCTCATTATCTAACATCCTTGGTCAATCACAAGTGAGCATCCCCTGAATAATCCTTCTTTTCGACAATGAAAATTCATAAAACTGACTTTATTCGTTTTATTCAATAAAACTCACCAAGAAAGTGTTTACTGAGGTCAGAGCCAAGGGTTGTTTTCCCATTGACAATCTAAATAATTCAAAGTATTTTTGTTAGCATGGTTATCGCCCCCTAGTGGGAACTAGAAATAATGTGTAACGTAAATAACAACAATAAAAATACCTCTTTAGAACCAGCCTTATAGAGTAAACACATATGTTATAAATGGTAAATGGATACCCAGAGTCATCAAAGCAAAAGCAACATATCAGTTTGTGTGTAGCTAACAGCAAACCATTTTCACTTGTTGTTGGTTACAATAAAACGTACATGACTTCCTACAAAGGTGTGACGATCCATCAGCGAGTGAGCGATACTAGCCTATAATTCTGTAAAGATTGTTCCCTGACTTATTTGGGCTCCAAGACAGATGGAAGATTAGTCTGAGGCAGCTTTAATCATCAATTCTTAAAGCTAGAAGCAGTGGTCCTATTTTAATGGTGTGATCCACAGAAAGCAAATGAAGTAAACCTGCCAACCAGGCGAATGAAAGAAATGAACATGTAACGCTTTGCTGCCATCTACTTATTTTCACCTTTAATGTAATAATTCAAAAGCTAGCTATTTTTGAATGAATTATGTGAGCCTAGCTGGTTACAGTTATGTCTTGTAATTCAATTTTCGTCTGTTCTCTTGTCATCTGTTTCACATGTACTGTGTGATGTTGCACTTTGAGGATGACACACATGGCTGCAACATGCCTTCCTTCCTGCACGTGACTACAGATGAAAATGTTGCTATTGCAGGGCAACTCCTGCATGTGATATAAACTCGCTCCTGAATAAACCAATTTAAAAAAGCAAAGTGGAAGAAGTTCTGAATCGTGTTGGCGACACAAACTTCCTTGCCCTGTAGGATCCACTGAAGCAATTAATTTTCTTTAGCCCTTTCAGGCTACTGGGGAGTTCTAGGGAGCAAAAGCCAATGAGGCTTTTTGAAAGTGTGGTGAAGTGTGGTGGAGGAAGTGAGTGCTGCATCTGCTACACAGCATGCACCTGCATACTGTGGGGCAGCTGGGATTTATCAGGCTGCAGCTTAGTGGTCCAGAATCAATATATGTGACTACTGCCAGTGTCTGACTGCCAGATGCAATCCAATAACAGTACAGTTAGTAAGAACACCTTTTTTTAAAAAGTACACTGGACATAAAATGCTACGAGACAGAGAGAGAGAGTTAAGTAAACACAACATGATCCAAACTGAGGTCTATCCAGTGAGCACTAAACATAATTCAAGAACCATCTGCGTTTTATTTTTCAGCTCCATCCTTGAAAAATACTTCCTTTTTTTTCCAGCACTGTTGCTGAAAAATAAGGCAATAAAAAGTGTAACACTCCCAACCATTTAAGTGACATTACCATAGCTGAGAATGGAGCACGACTACCCTCTGCTGGACGACATGGGGCACTGCATCTGGAGCTAAAAGGAAAGTTTTTGATATACAAAGCTTTGTGTAACCACAGTGCAGTGTGGCATGGGGGCGGGGGGCTTAACAATGCAAGTGTGCTCAGGCTATGTTGCAGTTGTACATATTAGCACACAGATTCCAAACCGGGCTACACGTTGCCCAGTGGGGTCGGATATAGGGCCAAATGCTGAATGTTAAAGCCGTGTATGAGGTATAAAAACTGCTGCTACCAGTACAGGTAAGCAAATCTGTGTTAGCATTAAAATTGCTTGCAAAGCTAAACAAATAAGCAGCAAAAATTGTTGAAATTATGAATAAAAATATGGAATATTTTACTAAAGACGTGAATGACATGGCTATAGCCGTCTTGAAATATTAGCTTTATGTGAAGTGTGGATTACCATCAGTAATCACGGGTAAACAGCTGTCGTCAGTAAACATAAAGAACTGTTTGAGCGCAACTGAAGTCACAAATTAATGGCAGCTTGCTAACCAGCAATGTCTGACTGTAGTAAATGATAAACTGAAAGCAGTCCAGAGACCAGACTGAAAAATGAGTTCAGCGTTTGTTGAACACATGTGAACATGAGAGGAGGGGTGGATGAAAGGGTTTAAAGCTGACAGACCTCTGGGGGGCGTGAGTAGCTTTAGGTACACCACTGCTGCAAAAGAGACTTGTAAAAGGTAGTGTGTTGCCTTTTCTGATAGTAGATGACTAAATCCAAGTGTTGTGCCTTTAATCATAGGAATGGTTGATGTATTCATTAAAATGACTCAAAATTAATATAATAAATTATCCACATTTGTATGGTGAAAAGCAGAGTAAGAAAAAGTCAGCTAACTGGTTTCACATTTGGATTGTTGTTCCAACAAAGAAGAAATATGAGCAAGTCATTCTGCGCCCTTACAACTCGTAATGCTTTTGTCATTTTTTATACTTGCATAATTTTAATGGGCTAAATTATTAACACACGAGTATAAAAATGACAAAAAGAATCTTTAGTTATAAAACAAAGTGTGTTACAAGTGGTCTGTGTTAAGAGTAATTAAATCATAAAGCCCTGCCATCACACTTTATCTGTCTCCATTCACATTGTGTTTTATGGTTTAAGTTACTAATGCAGTTAGTGGTGATTGATGTGACTTTTGTGGCTCATCGAGAGAAGAAAAACAAGCAGACAATACACAGTTTACTCTCCAGGCATATTTAATTGGCACAGTAAACACAATACAAAGTATTCAGTGCTCCAAAACACAAGCATGGCCTACCGAATGGAACACAAACGAAAAAGTGCAAAAACACACCATCTGGTAGACCTTACAAAGGAAAAGAAGTCTTACTTTGCAAAGCAGATAAAGTAATGGTAAGACTCTCCATAGTTAAAATAGATGTTTTCCTTTTTAAACTTTATTTATATACTCATATATATTTTCTCTAATTCCATCACGCCATTTCCACTGTACACGCGGGTTATTCTGGGGCATCGACAGAAAAGGTTTGTGGTGGTCTCGTGTCAGAGCACTGGCAGGCAAAAGCCTGCCCTAAAGCTACTGCTGCCTCATCGGATTTAATCATATCACTTGCCAGACATTGTTTGATCACCGTGATGTGTGAAGCGATGAGAGGGGCGAAAGCAAACGTGGTATTTGATTCAGCAGGGATTTGATCATTCCTTACATCGGCAGTCCAAATGATCAGTACGTCCATCATTCCTCCACACGGGGAGTGTTCATAAAATTCTGCATTAGACAAATATACGATGGCTTCATCCAAAACATAAAAACAATGTAACGGTTACTCATGTTTGCAGTTAAGGGATTTTAGTCCCATTCAGGTACAATAAGCAACAACATATCATTCCAGCTTTAAAAAAAGAAGAGAGAGAAAAAAAGGAAGAAAAAGAGAATCTTCACTCGTCATATATAAAACAAAAATGTTAAAAATCACGTGCATTATGTGCCATTGAGCAGGGGGAATCAGTGGACATCATTTCTCTACCCTGACAGTTTCATGATTAGAAATTTGCCCCCTCGAGATAATCACATCTTCGTCTCCTCACCATACCACAGCGAACGTCAGCATCGTTCCTCCTCTCAGTGAAACCTGGTTAAGGCCCAAAACGGGTGATGATCGGCGTGTTGTCACATTTCAGTCAAAAACTCACAGGAAAACGATCACAGTATATTTTCATATACAGTAGACAGTAGGTGGAGCTTGTTACAAACATCGGGTGTAACTCATATCTTCATAGGTTTCATTTTTGGGTGCTGCTTGGACCAAGTGGAGCCACTTCCACAAGGTGATTAACTTTAAACTAACAACTTGCATTAGACGCTCTGATCAAAATATAGCAAACTAACACTTTTCATACGTACTGTACTTACAAAAAACAAAACAACCTTGACCTATCTATGCATGAGATCATTCAGGAAAGAAGAAAAGAAAAAAACAAAAAACAAAATGACAGTTCGGGTTCCTATCGTCCTTTTTTGTGATTAAACTACACAAATTTGAGATCACTTACTTTCTGTTAAAAACAGGGAAACATGCTTTCTGAACAGATGACTGAAAAAACATGTACGTAATTTTAAAAAAAACAAAAAAACAAAAAGACCCACAGGCACCAAACCCAAACAGTAGCATTCAGGTTAATTCAAACAGTATGACTAGGCAATGAGGGTTAACTGAACTTAAAGGCTGGAGGGAAGGGGCGTAAGCAGGCTTAACACCCCCACCGCCTCCTCCAACCCGCCAGCACAGGGGCGAGGAGGAAGACAGGGCAAGCATGCAGCACACCACAATGCTGAGGGACCCCCGCCCCCCGAGCTGTTGCAAAAGAAAAACACAACAAAAAAAGGCTTAAAGCAGCCAAGGGAGCTAGCCTGAGCCGCCATAGCCTGAGGGAGGGGGGAAGGGCTGTGAAGGTAAGGAAGGGGGTGGGGTGTGGTCAGAGAGAGGAACAGGCACCAGTGACAGAACAAGAAATGGCTGGATGGTATGGATGGTGGATGACACCATCATCTAGAGTTCTGCCCCTTCAGCTGGTCCTGGATATGTGGAAGTGATCTTGGTGAGGAGGAAAGTGGAAACTGTGACACAAAAGACCAACGACCACTGAGCTCAAACGAACGTACATGAGAAGCACAGGACACAAAGACAGATGATTAGCACCTTCAGTTCTTCTGATTCCAGTTAAGTGAAACCTGCAAATATAGAGCTGATTTAAGTGGAAGGCGTGAATATGAGCATCTTATGGCGTCAGATGAACCTGGGATGATTCTGTCTCGAGTCAGTGAGCGAGTGAGCGTTTCATCCACCTGGTTCGTCTGTCCGTCCGCTCCTGTCGGTCTCCGTCCTGTCTCTGACCACACCCTCCTCCATGTATGTGTGTGTGTTTGTGTGTCACAGGGCAAAGGGAAGGAAAAAAGAGAAGTGGCAGAGCCAGGGAAGCCAGCAGCCTCAGTCATGACCGCACATGGTGCGAGCAGTTAGTTACATTAAAAAGCAAAGCGTTGCTGAAAACAACATAAAGCCGTTTGTGTACTGCGGCTGTGACTGCTGAATGGGGGTTAAAAATGGAGAAGTTATGAGCACTAAATTTTTGATGCGTTCTGTCTAAACTTTTTCTTTTTGTTTGTTTGGAAAATTCAGATGCGTTCTAATCGGCCGTCTCTCTCTTTCTTTTAGACTCAGGTCATCTTTCTCTCTGACTCTGTGAGCATGTGAGGAACGTGGTGGTTTCTCCGAGGCTGCTTGCCCTGCCATTCCTCAGCCAGCCTCACACTTTTAGGAATCTGTAATTCAAAAAGGAAAATACAAACAACAAAAAATAACAAAAAGAAGAGTTAGCTTTAAAAAGAAGTGAAGACCAACCCATATATTCAGATATGGAGAGGAGGTCATTGCATTAAATATGAGACTACATTGAACCGGTACTACTACTGTATCTCCAAGAAAGACGTGTGTTGTATGACCTGAATTAACACAAACATGCATCTGTTTAACTAAAACCACGGGGCTTGAATGCATGTTAGAATGAAATGGCTGTACTATCACAACACGCTGTAATCCTGTTACGATAAAACTCCCACAAATGCCACAGCACACACCAAATTTCACAATTTCTGTGTGTTAAACCTGATGTAGAGTTACACCTCGCACACACGGCCATGCTATGGCTGTAACAAATCTTCAAAACTGATACAAGGGACCCTTCAACTCCCAAAATCATACGATATCTGGCCTGTAGTACTATTTTTAGATCTGTGGTGTCAAACATAAGACCCAGGGTCCAGAATCGGCCTGGCAAAGACTCCTAACCAGACCCACTGGACAGCTTGGAAAACATGAAAAATCATGTTTTTATAAGTTTTCCAGCTTTATCTTTAATGATAAAAACAGCCTATAACTATTCACACTACACTAAAGTAATTAGGTTATAGAAAAAAAAATGAAATAACAGAAACGTTTGGGTTTTTTTTACAATGTGTATACAGTAAGAAAAAAAAGGTATTTTCTATGAATTAACAAAAGAAAAATGCTATTAATTACAGGGCAGCCAATGTGCTACACCTAAAACTTTTTCTGTAATTTGTTTCTTACCATTTAAGCCCAAACAGACAGATTTCTGTCATTTACTACAGCAGCTTTTCTTTATTATGTACAAAAAACTGAGATGTCCCGTTGAAATTGCACCTTATTTTAAAAAATTATATTAAGATATCTCAAAGTTTAAATGTGTAATTTGACTTTTGTTTTTTACACTTACAGAAAGGGGAGTAGAATGGGTAGGCGGCTATATGTGGTCCACAGTGTGAAATGCTTTTGACATTCCTGATCTAGACTGTTTTGGTGCGAGCAGATTTATGTAAAACCTGTTTACCTAAACTGTCTCACTGGGCATTCATAGCAGAGTGACAGCATGTACGATCGTCGCTCAGGAGTCCGACTTGTAATCAGAAGGTTGCCGGTTCGAGCTCGGATAGTCTCGGTCGTTGTGTCCTTGGGCAAGACACTTCACCCGTTGCCTACTGGTGGTGGTCAGAGGGCACGGTGGCACCAGTGACTGGCAGCCTCGCCTCTGTCAGTGCGGCTGTGTCTGTAGCTGTGGCTACAATGTAGCTTGCCATCACCAGTGTGTGAATGGGTGGATGACTGAATGTAGTGTAAAGCATTTTGGGGTCCTTAGGGACTAAGTAAAGCGCTATACAAATACAGGCCATTTACCATTTACATCAATGGTGCCCCCCTCTGCTAATGTTAGATAGCTGCATGTTTTTTACAGTTAGTGGATGTAGTTGCACAGTAAGAAAATAGCACTAGAGGCCAGACGAAAAATGTGTAAATTCTATTTTGAGGTGAGTTGTGTCTTTAAAAGAGTGAGATGATTTTTGAGAGAGCCCTGATCTTGGAAAAGAGTAACAGAGTAGTGAAACGACCCAGAGGCTACACACGCCATGCTTTTAGAGTAAACACTTCAGAGACCGATGCAAACAAACCACAAAGCTTTAGAGTCATGACCAGCTCCATATCCCAGCTCAGCCTCACCAAACATAGTTTACTTCAGCTAATTCTCAGTCCTTTATTCTTTTACCACTGGCCTGCAAAAAAGGACCAGAACAGCCCAACACTGTCATTATCAAAAGGTGAATTTAGAAAAAAGAAACATTATAAGGCGGCTATTAATGTTATTAAACTGGACAATATTTTTAAAAAATGACCCCTTACAGGGAAAATAACTTGTTCTTGTTGTAACAACACTGTAATTTATCTAGAGCATGCAACACTTGAGAGGCAGCAGCATGATTTTTAATCTAGTTTAACCTACAAAAATATCTCTTGATATGTCTTCATACTGTACAGCTGATTTAAATTACATTTGCTTGATTGCACATTGAGCATTCTTTCTTTTTAGGTACGTCAAGTGACCAAAACACAATAACTTCTAAAAATGTAACTTTGAGTTGATGGTCACTGCCTCTTCACATGGTGCTTACATTCACTCAGCTGACTTATCACCACACAGATTGAGCTTTGGCCACAGTTCTGGCTCAAAGTCTTAATTAACAGTGTTTTTATATGAGTAGAATATTGTTATTCAACATTTTAAAACCTAAAAGAAAATCAAATACTGAATGTCTCAAATGTACAGGTGATCACTGTTAGGTGCTGATTTGCGCCATCATGAGCTTTGAGTGTGCCATGTTTTATTTTCAATGACCACTAGGTGGCACTGCCGTGAATAAGAGATGAGATAACAACAGGCTTCACCTCAAACACTTCTTAGACATGATATCTGATTGGCACAGCTCACGCTACTAGAACCAACTTTTCCAACTGTTATGAGGCACAATGGACAAATCCGATTGCTCCTTCTTTGTGGAGCGGCATGAAGTGTCTGTGTGTGTGTGTCTGAACTAGCATCTATAATCTCTGTAACTTGCCCCACTCGTTCAGCACGTGAATGGAATACAGAGTAACAAAAACTATCATAGCAAGAACTTGCTGAGTTAAATGTATGTCATAGCACCTTTGGCATTCGTTTCCAAAAACACTTCAACGTAGGATGTGGGCACGTATCCCTCCTCATCCTCGTTCCTCCGCACGCGTGTCCAGCCATCTCCTTTGTCTTCTTCTATGACGTACAACAGCTCACCCTCAGCCACGGAGATGGTGCCCTCGTTATGACCTGCAGGAGAGAACAGCCGCAAACCAACAGAAGATAAGAACGCTGGCTCTGTATATTAACAGGAACCATGTTGATTAGTAGCGCACTTTGAAAATCAGAGATACAAGAAAAGAGGAAGCAAAACCAGATGCTGCACAGCAGGGATATAGTCAGTACTACTTGTAGAAACTGCACAGGCACTTGAACATGTCCTGAGTCAACATATATGAATAAGCACAGGTAGTTTTAACAATTAGTAGCACTTAATGTGATCCATCCATTTTAACAGAAATTCTAAATTTAATCTATTTCTGAAAAGTAAACATTTATAGATACATTAGTTAGGAAAGTGTTACTCAGTGTAAGCCCCTCTTATTCAGTTTTGGAGCTGGGGGGCTGGGGTTGGGGAACCAAGATGTTTGAGACCCTACAAAAAACCATAACCAGATAATTAAGGGAATACAACTCCAAGATGAATGTTAATGTGTTACAGTTTATTTGTTTTTTGTGATGTCATTATGTAGTTGAACTTTGCTGCTTTGTTAAATGTTGTGCTTTGCTCAAGTAGATTTCAATAGACCAGATTCCAGTAAGTTTAATCTTTTACGCTGCACTTGTGTAACACAATTACGTGGAAACCTTATCTGTAATGAAATTGCTTTTTTGAGTGTACACTCCTTTTTTACTTTTGAACAAATGTTTGAGTATGAAGGTTTTATGCCAAAACGCAAGGTATACAGGGCGGTGAGCTCTCTGGAAATATGTGTAGCTGTAATTCATTTACGTGACTGTAATCCGCAACAGTAGGGACTGGGGTTATTCCTGGGACTTTTCTCTCATTTCTTGTTGCCAGTAGGGTGGGTAGCATTTAGTTATGTAGCCTTGCTGAAAGAAAAACCCTCCAGAATGACTGAATGACTGCAGTATTACAGAATTACTTTATTACTACTATTCTAATATTCATGATTATGACTCATCAAAGGTCTTACACAACTGAAAAACTAGTTTAACCTATACAATGAACCACAATTTCACCGTTAACCCAGCAATCGCTACAGCTAAAGTAAGCATATGCCAATAGAATACACCAGATAGACCTTTACCGCCTCTTTATATGCACTGAGCTTTATGTTTAGCAGCTTTGAATAATTTTCCAAATTTGATTTTGAAATAGTGCAACTGAGAAATGAGTGTATTTTTATACATACTCCTCCACACATTTGAACACAAAGGTCACATCCCTACTCCTCCTCCTCATTCAGAGGAATCAAACTCCTCCACCCGTTTTCCATCAGACTCAGGTTCAGCTTATTTCCAGAAATAACGGGACCTCAGCAGCAGCCACCAGCCAACGAGCAGGCTTCATACTTACATTGACCATTTTTATTTTAAACCAATGTGGCTGCAGTTACCTTCGAAGGGATACAAGGCTTTGCAGGTGCCGATGGTAGGCAGGACCTCCTCATCATCAAACTCATCATCGAACTCCGTCGTGGTGGTTGCGGTGGGGATGGGTTGGGCTTTGACCTGAACCTCTGAATTCTGCTCCTCTGTGTAGCTGCCATCCGGGCTGCTCAGGGGCCAACACACACACAGTAAATATACTGTGAAAACACACATCAATTTCTTCCCAAAAAGTCATGTGTGTTACAAACTCTGGGTTCTGTGGCCGCTTTTTGCCAAAGTATACCATACCTCTCTCTGTCCTGTGCACAGTTGTTGCTCACTGTTGTGCTATTCTGGGTCTCATAGAGTCCGCTTTTCCGGTGTGAATCACTCTTAGACGGCATCCTCTCCTCCACCTCCGCTAACCAGCCCTGAAACACACGCAATCATTATTTGGCTCTAGCTTTTTATTTTTAATTACATGACAACTTGGACCAATGACAACTTGAGGAATTCTTTTTATCTGTGATAACTTTACATTCGGCAAGGACCTAGCACAGAACGAACACCTCATCCTTGCATTCCCCCATTTATTTACACGGTTAAACCAGGCCATTGTTCTGGGACTTCTCTCTCTGCACAGAGAACATGGAACATGCAGCCAATCCCTGCAGCTGCCTTGCATCTTCTCCTAATATGGATAAGCGACAGTCTTCTTTGGAATTACCCCAGCTGGAGATGTGTGTCTGAGCTCCTCATTATTTACTGTTTCAGATAAACCAAACAACACAGCCTTGCCAACATTAACACTCAAAAAGGAATAGGGGCTGAGACAGACACTGAACTTACCTCAAATTTCTGTACTTCAGACTGGAGCTTCTCAATGTTTTGACCTATTTCTGTTAGCCGGGGGTCCACACTGGTCGGGTCTCCCATCTGAGGGTTCTTTATATACACGTCTTTCATCTTAGTCAAAGCATCTCTGGAAGAGCAAGTATTTTTAAGTCTTTGAGGCTTCAGAACAGAATGGAAAGATTTATAACGCTAAATTAAAAAACCCTCTGAATACCTCTGGTCCATTTCTTTTTGTATGTCTTTACTCAGCTCATCGATCTTGCCCTGCAGCTTCTTCCTCCTCTGCTCTGGTGGCAGGTGACTGAAGTCCTCCGGTACAGAACCCTGAAAAAAAAAAATCACACCATGGAAACTTTTTTTAAAAACTCAAAGAAAATAACCAACTTCAATAATCCTTTTTGTGCCTTAGCAGGAATCAGTTTTTGATAGGTGCAGTATCTCTCTCTGTTTTTGGGTTTTTTTCTATTTTTTTTTTTTTTTAACCCTGTGAAACAAGACTCAGGGATAAATGGGTATCAGAGTAAATAAATGGAGCTCCTGTTAGGCTGAATCATTGAAGGAGATACTGCAGCCGCTCTCTAACACACTCTATATTTAGGATGTTTGGCTCTGTGTAGACTTGAGGCCTTTCACCTATTCAGTCGCCACACCTAATTTAGAGAGCTCTGTAAATGCAACAGAAATGTAATAAAGTTTTGGCCACATCCTTTCATTGCTCATATAGTGTTTCAGGGTCAGCTAGCTAATGGATCTGTTCTCTGACAGGAACGGCTCTTTCTTAAAATGAAGGTTATATGAGCTGCGAGAGGTTGGCTTGACAGGAGTCATGTTTCCTGCTGAGACTGTAACACTGAATAGAATGAGTCATGCTGCTCCGCTGCCTCTCAGTCTTTCTGTAAACATCTGTAAACAAAGCATCAAAACTAATAAATAAATTGATCAGTAAGGATAAGGTAATTAACTAGCTGCTTCCGTGAGTCTTGGAATAACTC